CAGAGAGGAAAGGAGAGAGATAGAGAGTTAGAAACATCGATGAGAGAGAAACATCGACCAGCTGCCTCCTGCACACTCCCCACTGGGGATGTGCCCGCAACCAAGGTACATGCCCTTGACCGGAATCGAACCTGGGACCTTTCAGTCCGCAAGCCGACGCCCTATCCACTGAGCCAAACCGGTTTCGGCAAAAGAAGTATATCTTATTTTAATTCATTTATTAATAAATTAGTGGCCCGGTGCATGAAATCCATGCACGGGTGGGCGGGTCCCTCAACCCAGCTGCACCCTCTCCATTCTGGGACCCCTCAAGGGATGTCCAACTGCTGGGATCAGGCCTAAACTGGCAGTCGGACTGGCAGTTGGACATCCCTCTTGTAATCCATGACTGCTGGCTCCTAACCACTCACCTATCTGCCTGCCTGGTCACCCCTAACTGTCCTCCCCTGTCAGCCTGGTCGCCCCTAACTTCCCTCCCTGCAGACCTGGTTGCCCCTCACTGCCCTCCCCAGCTGGCCTGGTCGCTCCTAACTTCCCTCCCCTGCCAGCCTGGTCACTCCTAACTATTTTCCCCTGCCAGTCTGCTCACCCCTAACCGCCTCTGCCTTGGCCCCCACCACCATGGCTTTTTCCGGAAGGATGTCCGGAAGATGTGTGGGCTAATTAGCATATTAGTATAGATAAGTATTTGTTATATTATTCTCTACTTTTCAATATGTATTTAAAATATTCCAGAATATTTTAAGCAAATAAAAAATGGTCAAGTTGCAGAAAAATAAAAGTTTTGAAATACAACCTGGTAGGCTTGTAAGCAACAACATTTGCGTAAAAGGGCATAAGTTGCAGTCGGCAACAAAACTTGTTAGGATTGCTCGGTTAATATCCTTTTGTTGGAAAGGTGTGGTTTGGGCAAAGGAGAAAAGGAAACCAATATAAAATATACATACATATAAATATACATGCATTCTTCCCTTGCCCTCCACTTAATATTTGGCTATGGTCTTCTTTTCATGTCAACAAATTGGATGTACAGACATAATTTTTTTTTTTTTAATATATTTTATTGATTTTTTACAGAGAGGAAGGGAGAGAGATAGAGAGTTAGAAACATCGATGAGAGAGAAATATCGATCAGCTGCCTCCTGCACACCCCCCACTGGGGATGTGCCTGCGACCAAGGTACATGCCCCTGACCGGAATCGAACCTGGGACCGTTCAGTCCGCAGGCCGACGCTCCATCCACTGAGCCAAACCGGATTCGGCCAGACATAATTTTTAATGGCTACAGTGTTATCCCTGACTGATTGACATTACTATGGTTTACTTCACTAACCCTATATGGTGGAGCAGGTTGTTTCCGGTTTCCCCTGGCATCAACAACTACAGGAAACCTAACTGCTTATTTGACTGTTTACTTAGGACACATTCACAGACATGGAACTCCTGGCCCAAAGCTAATTCACTTGAATTTTGATCCACATTTCCAAACTGACTTTCTAGAAAGTGCTTCTGTTTTTAGTCCATTGGTTTTAAATCAGATTACACTCCCACAAATGGGGTAAGAGACATGGGGCGGGGCCAGCCCTGGGTGGGCCGTGGGCGGGCGGGGCAGATCGGCCATGTTCCCTCTGGTTACATCCCCGCCAGCCCTGAGTGGTAAGAGCCCCCGGTGCCCTTCCCTGTCCCCTTCCCTGGGAGGGCGGGGAGAGTGGATGGTGGGGAGACCACGTTGCCGCTCCCAGTTCTAACTCCCGAATCCCGCACGCTGTGTTACTGAGAAACGTTAGGCAGGAGGCAGGGACAGGCCACCGGGTGCGGGACCAGAAAGATCCAGGCTAGAGGGTGAAGTCCAGGGAGGCGTGGGTGGCACGGGCCGAGGGCCCTGTGTGGGTGCGGGCGTGTGTGTGTCTGTCGCTCGGGTCCACGCTCATGCACACACCCACAGACCCGCACTCCGGCTCTGCACCCTCGGCCACCAGGAACCTCCGCGGAGCCTGCTGTGAGCTCGGATGCATCTAGTCCCAGCACCAAGCAAGTCTGAGAAAGTTTCCTGGCCTGTGGGACTCAGACTGACACCCGCCTCCCTCCTCCCACCTCCTACCGCGCAGGCGGGGACAGGGAGTTCTGGGCCCCGGGTTTGAAGGCCGGCCACGCCTTTAATCGCAGCAGACCCAGTATTCCACCGCACTCTGGCTGGGGCCCAGAGATTCCAGGCCCAGTCATTTGGTCATCCCGGCCCCGCTGCCACAAGTCCCGACCCACCAGAGCCTGCTGCGTGCACAGCCTGGGCATTAGGTTGAGCCTTTGATCATTTCAGTTGTGACGGACCCTGGCTCTTTATATATTAGGACGTTCAGATACCAACTATAAATAAATCCTAGTATATTTTTCATCTAGCTTCCCTGCATGGGTAAAAGATCCATTCAAAGGGCAAAATGAGCCCTGACTAGTGTGTCTCAGTTGGTTGGAGCACCATCCCATGCACCGAAGGGTCATGGGTTCAATTCCCAGTCAGGGCACATACCTCAGTTGTGAGTTTCATCCTCAGTCAGGGCATGTGTGGGAGGAAACTGATCAATGTTTCTCTCTCACATCAATGCTTCTCTCTCTATCTCTCTCTCTCTTCTCCCCCTTTCACTTCCTCTCTCTCTAAATCCTCAGTTGAGGATTTTTTAAAAAGTGCAAAATGAATGAAGGATATTAAATTGATAGAGTAAAAAAGTTCAATAATATAGTTTTAGATTCCATAGGGCAAATGACTTTAACTATCACTTATTGAATTCTGATGTACTATCTAACAGGAATAACCACAATTCCCTGAAAATGCTATTAAAACATCCCTCCCTTTCCAACTACATATCTGTGTGAGGTCAGATTTTCTTCCTTCACTTCACACAAAATAACATATTGCAACAAACTGAATGCAAGGCAGATAGGCCAATCTAGCTCTTTTAAGTCAGATATTAAAGAGATCTGTTAAAATGTAAACAAATGCCACTCTTCTCAACAATGCTTTTTTGTTTTGGGAAATATCATAAAAATATTTTTGGGATAAGATAGGTTTAATATTATTAAATTAATAAATTTTATACATTTTTCAGTTTTAATCTCTAATATGGCAAATACTGATAAAATCCCATTAAGAAAAACTCTTGGGTTTTCAATCATATTTACATGTATAAACAGGTACTGATGCTACCATCATTAGCTAGTAATTAAAAGCAAGAGAGCAAGCGAAGTCAGACATTGGTAAGCATGGTCAACTGGGAAGCATGAGCCTGTTTGCTTCAATAGGAAGCTACAGCTTCACACCCCAAGGAATTGTAGCATTGTCCTTCCAAGGAGATTAACATTCCTACCTTCTCTCCTCTGGTACTGGATTGTATATGGAGGGGGAATAGAGGGAGATAAGCACATATGCAATGAAGTAAAAAAGGTGCAGGGGGAGATGCTTGTTCCTAGACGCCTGTCAATCTAACCTGGGAAAGGGATCATTGGACCCATCAGAAGCCTGGAAATCTTAGAAAGTTGAAAAAGTTCCTGGTTAAAATCCCAAGAGAACAAAGCGCACCATCCTGTTCTCGCTCTCGCTCTCTCTCTCTCTCTCTCTGTGACCCACATTTACCCCATTTGTTTGCATCTCTCCCGTCAGAGCATACAACTATGCATTTCTAGTGGCCACCTGGGGCCTGCTGCAGATTGCTTGGGCTCCAAAGGACTATGAAGCAGAAACTCTGGGCACTGGCTTTTGTTTTGGCCCTGCTGAAGACATGGTGGGATGTTGGGGGCCAGATGTAAGCTGACACGGTCCTTGCACCTGAAGGGGCTAGCAAGGCTGGGACCATTACCCACACAGTTTTCCCAGACTTGTTTGGATGGCAATTATCAGTAGAATAAGAGCAACCTTTGTAGAATGAGAACAGCCTTTCATGGCTTACCAAGAAGTCTGTAACTATTTACTGAGATATGCTGTACTGAGAACTTGACCTCTTCTGCTGTGTCTCTCCCTTAGAGATTAAGAGGAACAAAGAATACATTCCTCTTGACAGACCTCCTATTCAGTGTCTTATGTATAAATAGGATTGTGTGGCTAATAAACTTGCTTCAGTTCCTCGAGAGCTGTTGTCCTCCCGATCCCACTTTCCTGTCTTTCTTTCTTTTCTCAATTCCCACCTCCCTGCTCAGCCCGGCTCAACCTGTCAGGCTGGCCCTGACAGTAGGACTTTTACCATGGCAGGATGGAGGCAGGTGGGACATGGGGAAGCTAGGAGGGGAACTCTTTTGATTTTGCATCAGAATAAAAAACCATCCTGCCACAACACAATCTCCCCTGCATGGGTTCTTAAAATGCTTTTCTCGAAATCCCTGTTTCCCACCCACAACACTGAGACCACAAAATTTGAGAATGGCTGATTTAAGCATAAATAAGCTTGTGAATATCATTATCTTGGTGGTGACTGGGCATGCTATTCTGAAGCCCCTCAGGACAGTCTGCTCCCACCACTCTTCCAGGCTCTGTCCTGTCCTGTTCTGTGGGAGACTCAGCATCCACAAACAAGATATTCCAGCCTTTATCTGCTGCCACAGTACATTCTGGCAGTTGCCTGTGAATTACTATAGAGGACAGCTCAGTGCAGTACCTCTGGCTCTAATTCATTTGAAAACAGTTCCTACACCATTTACACAAGGTGAACTGGAGTTAAGTATGGGAGGGGTTCAAAGTCTCTATAAATTTCTGGTTGCTGTTAGGTTATGGTTTAAAGGGTGAGCATGTTTTACGCATTGTGTTTGTTTTTAATCCATCCCCAATGCAAGTTGTAGAAACTGTCCCCTAGCTGTACTGCATGTGGAACTCTACTACCAGTTTTCATACTTTTCAGATTTCATTTTATTGGGTATTTTAAGTAGAACATAGATGGAGATTCATGGGACATATCTAGCTTGCTGTCATATTAACTAAAAATCTGTTTTTAATTAAGAAGGAAAACAAAAACACTCACCTGTTCTGGGCTCATATACAGTTTGGTCCCCACTTGTCCCGTGTGCCGGGCATATGCTGGCATTGGGGTCAGAACCATCGGCTCGTCCTCGTCCTGGTCCATTGCTGTCACTAATCCAAAGTCTCCAACCTTGACCACATCGTCCATTGTAAAGAATATGTTGGAAGGCTGGAAAAAAATAAAACAGACAAAAGCACAATGGATGTATACAGAAAAGGAAAGTGAAGGGAATTTATTAAAATGACAACAGAAAATAAATACAAGGAACTAGATATTCTCAGGTATGTTTCCCTTTAAAATGAGTTGATATGAAAATACCACTGATCCTTCCATGCTGGACAAGTGCTGTGAGTAAAGAAAAGCTAGCATAGGGATCAGCATTTATATTTAGCCATTTAGCGCATGAATGAACAAACAGCATCTACTTAAACACGTAGAGACTCACATTACCTAGGGCCCAAGGTATTTAATGCTCAGTCTTATTATTCTATATGTTCTCCCCCAGGCAAGCTTCTCTACATTTATAACTGAAGTGATGACTATAATAATAGTAACAATACTATCAAATGCATATATAGCACTTAAAATGTCAGGAGCCAGTCTAAGCTGGTTACTACTATTAACTCATGCAATACTCACAGCCCTATTAATTCTATTAGTCTTTCATTTTACAGACATGCAAACTGAGGCCCAGAGAAGTTAGGTAAACTGCCCAATGTTATCCAGGTAGTAAGTGGTGGAGCAGGGATTCAAACTCAGGCAGTCTGGTTCCATGAGAAGAGGATGTCTGCTTCAATACCACAGGTCCAGCATTTAGTATAGCATGTGCCTTATGATAGCTAATCACCACTGTTTGATAAATGAATAAAACAGACTGATTTTGGGTTTATGTCCAAGAGGGAAAAAGCAGGCTATCACAGAGAATAAGAGCTCTTAATTGCAACCAATGCTGCCTCTTCTAATATCCACATGCTCTCATGTATTCCAAGGCTGCTGGTCTGAGTTATAAACTCTCACATGCAACTGCTGAAGAGAGAGAGCGCTAACCAAGTTTCTCATGGTCCTTAAACTCAAGTCCGCTACATGAACTCTATCATCTTCCTTCAGAGCCTACTCTCACCCCTGCTAACAGGATCACCATTTAGAGCCTTAAAATGAGGGAAAGATAGCCACTTAGCTCAGGAAATTGTATTTCCTCAGGCTTCAAATCCTGCCAGACAAGTAATACTTTATTCCCAAACTCTAAAATGCTATTAGACAGTTGTGACTTTGAAGCAATGATGTTATTGCACATAACCAAAATCTATGGTAATAACCTCCTGCTCGCCCACAAATGACCTTGTGAGAGAGCTGCCTTTAATTTTACTGCTCCTGTCCTCCCATCATCTGGTGTTATTACTGAACACTGTAATAGACTTCATTTTTTTTTTTTTAATTTTTAGGCTTTCCAGCATCTATCCCTCTGCACTTCACCAGAAGCATCCTGACTGGACTTCGGGAACCCTTCCCAACTGTGCAGCAACCCATGACTGCACATCCTGAGGATGCATAAATCATCAGCATAATCCTATCCCCAGACCGGGATACTGGTTTAGGAATGGGTATATGTCCTTGACTTTTCAGTTAGGAGGAAACTCAGGACTTCTGGTCAATGGTAGGGAAGAGATGGCTAAATGGCTAAATGGTATTTAGCCCTATCTCATCACTCCAAAAGACTTAAAATGTGCAGTCCACTAATAGTGGCAGCTGTCCTGAGAGTGTGAAGGGAAAGCCTGCCTGAAAGTGGAAAAAAGAAACAGGGCAAGGAGAGGGGAGACCTTATTCTGGCCACATCACTGAAACTTTACTTGAATCTTGGACAGTTCAGTTACATGAGCCAATACATTTCATTTCTGATTAAATTGTTATAAGTGCTTTTGATTGCAAACAAGAGAATAATAAAAAAAAAGTTATATGAGCATATAGAATGCATCAGGCATTGTGTTAAGGATTTAATAGGTGAAAAGACATGGCTTCTGCCCCTTTGGAAACCAGGGGATAAATAATACAACTGTGATGAGGATTATGAAGGAGAAACACCAGGTTCTGTGAGAACACTGTGTATTTAAGCAACTGAGAAAAACCTAGTGCAACTTGAGTAAAGGGAAGATTAGAAGTCAGTTGGAAGAATCAGGGGCAGCGAGTGCTGAATGACAAAAATGTGACCAAAATATAAAAAGGGGAGAGGGCTTAAGAGGTTTCACAGTGAGCTCAAAGACTTAGGTCAGAATGGACAGGACACAGAGCTTTTTGACTAAGAATAAAATTATTGGGAGAATTTCTTTCTGGTTCACTAGAAATTTTTAAGAGAAATTCATCTTTACAAAAGAATACTTTTTTGATATCTAGGAAAACTAGAGAAAATTAATTTTCTTGAAATTTTTTTAGTGCACAAAGAAATACAAGAAAAACCTTTAGACAACATTGTAGCATTAAACAAATATTCACCAATCCTATAAATTAAAAGGCTAATATGCAAATCAACCGAAAGGTAGAACAACTGCTCAGTATGACACGCACTGACCACCAGGGGACAGACGCTCAACACAGGGGCTGCCTGCTGGTGGTCAGTGCACTCCCACAAGGGGAGCACTGCTCAGCCAGAAACCGGGTTCATGGCTGGCAAGTGCAGTGACGGTGGTGGGAGCCTCTCTCACCTCCGCAGCACTAAGGATGTCCGACTGCCAGCTTGGGCCCACGAGTGGGCCTAAGCCATCAGTTGGACATTCCTTGAGGGCTCCCGGACTGCAAGAGGGCGCAGGCCGAGCTGAGGGCTCCCCATGACCAAGTGCACAAATTTCGTGCACCGGGCCTCTAGTACCTCATACACACTGTAAAATCAGCAGAATATTCAAAATTAGTAAGAACACAATTACATGGCTTTCAACGTAACATTTTGGTTGTACAGTAAGTGTTCAGTACAAGAAGAATGTGCACATTAGATAACCAGTTCCTACCAAATGATAAAACTGTACCCATATTCCAATAGCCAACACTCACTCAAGTTAGGGGCATCTAACCTCATGGAAGTTGTCTTCTCCCCTCCAACCAAAACCAACCATCTCTGAACTTCTCACTCATGCAGAATGATTCCTGGCAATTAGTTCTGGCCACATCCAGAGTGTGCTGATTAGGTATAATTCAACAACAATTACTTTGGAAAATAGGAATTATTTCTAATTTGAGTTCCTATTATTCCAAACTCTTAAAAACATATTCAAAGATTTAAAAACCCACTGCTGACTTTAAAAAGAAAATTACTCATCCAAATAGCTACTTTGGTGCCTGAAACAAGTTTGTGGTTACATAAAACAAAACTGAAAATACCTAAAATGAGTCCAAATCTCAAGAATTTAAGCAATTTCCATCAGAAAAATATTTATGTATTCACTACACATCTATGTTTACTATGATCACTATGAGCATATGGAATATGGCAGAAATTAGATCTTAAAAGTTCCATAGAGGTATTTCAGAAGCATACACTGAAGACACACTGCATGTTCTAGTAGGAATCTTTGATAATGCAGCATACTGCATGGCTACAATATTCATTACTGAAATAGAATCAAAGGTGTTAGAGCTGCAAACATCATGTGACTAACCATTCGCCACCTTTTATCATCCAGCTTCTCACCTCCTTCCCCAAAACCTGAACAGCTCAGGAACAGGGGCAAAAAGAATGGCAACTGGCCCTAATTCAGAGCTGGCTAATGAAGGGACCTCTGGCTCTCCTTCCACTTGAGCCCTTTCAGTGTGCTACTTCAGGATCCTACGGGAATCTGTGCCAGGGTTACTCAAAGCCATAGAAAATGGTATTGAATTTTACATAAGATATTTTTTCTTCAGAAGATTGGGAATGCTTTTTACTGTAAAACAAACATAAACTTATTATAAAGAACTCATGATTTGCCTGAGATCTTTTTTATTTTTTAAATATAATTTTATTGATTTCAGAGAGGAAGGGAGAGGGAGAGAGAGATAAGAGATCAAGCTTACAACCTGGGTATGTGCCCTGACCAGGAATCGAACCACGACTTTTGTTTCAACAGCCTGTACTTAGGTTGTTTAAAGAGATTTAGAGATCTTCCTCTTGTGTACAGGGTCAACTCCATGGGCATATGTGACCAGTGCGGTCACTCACACAGGGCTCCCTGCTCAAAACAGTTCAGTGCTTGGGGTTTAATTTTTTGTAACCACTGCCTTGAAATTCCATTTATTTATTTTTTAAATATAATTTTATTGATTTCAGAGAGGAAGGGAGAGGGAGAGAGAGATAAGAGATCAAGCTTACAACCTGGGTATGTGCCCTGACCAGGAATCGAACCACGACCTCCTGGTTCATAGGTCAATGCTCAACCATAGGGCCTGCCTGAGTTTTTTAAATCATGAGATTTCTTATTTTTACATTTCCAGATCTCTGCTCCCAATGCCTTCACTCTCCTCCACTCTTAGGGTACTTCCATTAAAAAGTGACAAATACTGCAAGTACTGCATAAAACGTCAGCTTGAAACCCGTGGATGAGGTTCCATAGTACCAACCTTGAGGTCTCTGTGCATGAGCCCCTTACTGTGCAGGAACTCCACCGCCTCTGCGATCTGCAGGAAGATGTGCAGGCACGTGTCCCACCCTCTTTCCTCCATGCTGCACCGGCTGTTCATCCAGTCCTTTAGGTTCTCTTTTCTGCACAGCTGCATCTGAATGTAAAGATACACCTTTGGGGAACTGGGCTGCAGCTTTTCTGCAGTGTTTTTAGTGAGATCTAGACTTAAAGTGGTTGGTCTTGAAAGAGAAATAGACAAACTAGGTTCCGAAGATTTGCTACTGGAATGCTTGGCAGCAGTTAGTTTATTAGCATAATGGTTGCCAATGTGCAATTGGTTAGCTTTGGGCTCTTCTTTACTGGATGCATTATCACAGCCTGAATCTTCAAATACTATGGAAGAGGAGGTTCTCTCCCTGGACTTCACATAAGGAGAAGCTTCGGAGGGACAAAGTTCAAAGGAGTGCCCCTCTTCACTGCCTTCCATCGTGCCATCTTCAACATCACAGTCTGTGAGGCAGCTGTCCTGGAGGTTGTACACTGCACCCACTGACGCACTGGTGTCTCCAAGGCCTAGTCCTGAAAATTCCAGTGGAGAGAAGTTGCTCTCAGATGAACCTGTCTGACCACAGGAAATCCCTACTGAAAAAGACCTGCTTCTTTGTGGCGAAGGAGCTATGATTTCAATATGTTCCTTTGTAGAGAAAGGATCCATTCTGCGTATTTTAACCGATGGTGCATCCATTGGACTGGGAGAGCTGAGTGGCCAGTCTGTGCTAAAAGTGGGAGAAATACAAAAGGATGAGAGTAAACAAGTGTTGATTAAATTATGTGAAATACACCCTTTGTTTTAAAAGCTTCAACTATAATAAAGCCAGTTACCAAAACACAAGCCATGTACAGATTAAAATGAAAACATGCTACGAGACAAAGAACATCACATCATATCCATTCCTTCTAAAAAGCTTAATTTAAGACATTAATTTATATTTGGAACCATTATCTGGGATTGTCACACAGGCATTGTCACAGCCTTTACGTACAACACACAGCAGTGAAGGAAAACCAAGGGCAGGAACCCTTGGTGGCCGTGACTCTGAAGCCCCGGTCCCATCAGGGCCGAAGCTCACAGGCCTGGAGACAAGAGGCCACTTCACGGATTCCTTGCATGGTCTGGCTATACCACGTGTCACTGTAGCAAGTGTTGTGTCCTACTTTAAGGCAGGAATTTTATTCCACCTGATTGGTAAACGGTCTATTTGCAATTTGTTTCCTCTTTGTTCTCATTTAGTAGTTTTTAAAAGGCCCTTACCTCTTCCACAGCACATTTTACATAAGAATTATCTTCAGGTTGCACAAGTTTATGTATTTTTAACTGCAAACAATTAAATGCTACTTTAAAAAGGAGTTGCAAATTGTTAAGTACTAAAAATGGAATAAAAAATTTTAAATATGTAGACAGCCTAGCTGGTGCGGCTGAGTGGTTGAGCATCAACCCATGAACTAGGAGGTCACAATTAGATTCAGGGCATATGTCTGGGTTGCGGGCTTGCTCTCCAGTAGGGGGCGTGCAGGAGGTAGCTGATAAATGTTTTTCTCTTATCATTGATGTTTCTATCTCTCTCTCTCTCTCTTCCTTCCCTTTCCTCTCGGAAATCAATAAAAACATATAAAAAAAGAAAATAAATAAAATACGTAGACGAAAGCATATAATAGCTCATTGAGAAAGGATTTACAGTGGTAAACTCCTAGTGAATTACAATTCATAGAGTCCTATGACATTACAACAGAATGGACAGCTATAATCAACAAATGACCGTTTCTCTGCTCAACACATAAACACACCTGAAAGATCCATGCATTGAGACATCTGACCATGGTGAGCGTATCAGGTAAACAGGGGAGACAGGATGGGAAGGATAAAGATAAGAGTTGCAGACCCAATCAGGCACTTGGAGGGCCCCAGCTGACATACTACCAGTGAAGGGTAATGGTGGGAGGGGCTCCCACAGGGCACACTGAAAAGGCAGAGACAGCAATGGAGGCTAGGCCAGCACACATGAGGATGAGCCCAGGGTCGGGGCAGAGAAACAGTGCAACAGGTGGCAGCACTCCAAACCCATCATCATCAGACAGAGGATTCCAGATTCAGGAACCTGCCCACTGGTCCTCCTCTGGCCTACCAGCAGTAAAATCCTCACTCGGCAGATCACCAAAGGTCAGGAAAAACTTTCCAGTCTAAGTGGTCTTATACTCATTGCAGCTAAACCCATCAAAAAGAAAAAAGCCATAGATACCTGAACCTATTTCCCCCTCCAGATGCTCCCCACAAATCCTGTAGGCCCTGGTAGTAGCATTGTCCACTCAGATCGGCTCCACCTGCAACTTCTTGCTACAGAGAGAAGGCAGTGGAAACAAGGCCAAGAGACTTATAGAGACCCATCACATCCCACCACAGGGGTGGTGCCTGGAGACCAGGGCAACCGCTTCATAAGGGCATCGCCCACCTCCTCAGAAATATGGGCTTTTTCACAGCCAAGGCCACACTACCCTATAGATAACCTTAAAGACAGGTAAGAAAAATTAAAACTTGTGCTTCAGCACCACCTTCTGGAAAACAAAAGAAAGACATCTACTTATCAACCTGCTGCTAAACAGTAGAGTAAAATACTTAAAAAAAAAAAAAAGATTTCACTTCCATAAATTCCAAGGCAGAAAAATAATCTATCAATCACAACAAATAACCAAGGTAACAAAGAAGTTCAGAAAGAAAATGAAAAATCTCCAGAAAATAAACTTCAAGACTTGGAAGTCGATGATTTAAGTGACAGAGAATTCAAGATTGCAGGTCTGAAAAATCTCAACGAGATACAAGAAAACTCAGAGGAGTAATTCAAAGAGCACAGAAATAAAGTCAACAGATAAAAAAGAGTCCCTCACCAAAGAGACTGAAACTATAAAAAAAAAAAAAAAAGAACCAATCAGAAATTTTTAATCTGAAGAACTCAGTAAAAATCTAGAACTGAGCTCTAGCTGGTTTGGCTCAGTGGATAGAGCATCAGCCCACAGACTGAAGGATCCCAGGTTGATTCCGGTCAAGGGGACATGCTCTGGTTGTGGACTCGATCCCCAGTAGCGGGGTGTGCAGGAAGCAGCCGATCAATGATTCTCATCATTGATGTTTCTCTTTCCATCTCCCTTCCTCTCCGAAATCAATAAAAAATATATTTTAAAAAATCCAGAACTGAGACACATAACGTAAAAAGAGAGGAAAGAGAGGATAAAATCATAGAATAACAGGAACACAAGGATTAAAAAACAAAACAAAATGGAGACCCAGAACTACCAGAAAACAAAAGATAAAATGGAGATAGGATAGCTTCATACATCTATAATCACCCTAAATGTAAATGGACTGAACTCACCAATTAAAGGCACAGAGTAGTGGGATGGTTTGTTTTGTTTTGTTTTTTAAAAACACCCAACTATATATGCTTGCTGTTTTTAGGAGACACATTTCAACTGCAAAGACAAACATAGATTCAAAGAGAAGGGGTGCAAGATGATACTCAAGCAAATGGCATCCAGAAGAAAGCAGGCGTAGCCATAATTATATCAGACAAAATAGATTTCAAGATAAAAAAGGTAACAAGAGACAAAGATGGACATTTTATAAAGATGAAGGAGACAATACATCAAGAAGACACAATGTTTATTAATAAGTATGCATTCAACCTGGAGGCACCAAAATATATAAAGCAACTACTAACAGAACTAAAGGGAGAAACTGATAAAAATACAATTATAATAGGGGAACTAAAACCCCACTGAGAACAATGGGTAGAGCATCCAAACAGAAAATCAAAACAGCTTTAAATAACACATTAAACCAAATGAACATAATCAATATTTACAGAGCTTTTCATCCTAGAACACCAGATTATACATTCTTCTCTAGTGCACAGAGAACATTCTCAAGGATAGATCGACCATATTATGTTGGGGCACAAAACTAATTTCAACAAATTTAAGAAGACTGAAATTATACTAAGCATATTCTCTGACAATAACAATTTGAAACTGGAAATCAACTGCTAAAAGGAAGCTGAGAAAACCACAAACATGTGGACATTAAACAACATGATACTAAACAACTACTGAGTAAAAGAAGAAATAAAAGGAGAGCTCAAAAGATACACAGAGTCAAATGAGAATGACAATAAGAAACATCAAAATCTGGGGGATGGAGCAAAAGCAGTAATACAATAAAAGTTTATAGCATTACAGGCCTACCACAAGAAACAAGAAAAATCTCAAATAAACAACCTAACATTTCACCTTAAAGGAATAGAAAAATAACAAAGCTGAAAGCCAGTAGAAGTAAGGAAATAAAAATTAGAGCAGAATTAAACAGAAAACAAAAGACAATAGAAAAATAATGCAAGAACCGATTCTTTAAAAGAATTAATAAAATTGACAAACCTCTAACTATAGATGCAAAAATCACTGACAAAAGAGAAAAGTCTCAAACAAACAAAATCATAAATTAAAGAGAAGTTACAACAGACACTACAGAAATACAAAAGACTATACAAGCACACCACGAAAGGTTGTACATCATCAAATTCAATAACCTAGAATAAATGGACAAGTTCTTGGGACTATATAAACTTCCTACACTGAATCATGAAGAACTGGAAATTCTAAACAGACTGAATTAAAACAGTCATCAAAAACTGTCCAAAAATAAAAGTCTATGACTAGATAGCTTCACTAGTGAATTCCACCAAACCTTCAAAGAAGATTTATTACATATCCTCCTCATACACTTCCAAAAATTTGGAAAAGAGGCAAAAATTCCTACCTCATTTTATGAAGCTAAAAATATTACTCTGATTCCAAAATCTGGCAAGGATACCACACACACAAATTATAGACCAATATCTCTGATAAAAACAGACGCAAAAACCCTAAACAAAACACTAACAAATCTATTTATATAAAAACCCTGGGTGTAACATCACGACCGACCAAAGCTCAACCAACAGGAAGGAAGTCAGTCCTGAAGGGGTTGTCTCGGCAATGGCTGTGCCCTCCCCGAGCTGTTTCCTGGAGCTGTTTCTGGCAAGGGCAAGGTTTGAGGCAGGAACCGGCCCTTGGAGCGTGGACCCACTGAGTTCTGGGTCCTCTTAGCAACAGCTGCGCCCTCCCCAAGCTGTTTCCGGTAAGGGCGAGGTTTGAGGCAGGAACCAGCCCCCGGAGTGTGGCCGCACTGAGTCCTGGGTCACTTTGCCAAGGACTGCGCCCTCCCCGAGCTGTTGGGGGTAAGGGCGAGGTTTGAGCCAGGAACCGGCCCTCGGAGTGTGGAGGCATATCTTTATAAAGTGTTAATATATATTAGAGGTCGTGGTGGTAGTTTTACCCACAGCGTCCACAGGATTTGTTGCAAATTTACTTCTCGATGGAAGTACCTTTCATTCCCCATATAAATTACCAATTCCATTAAATGAAACTTCAATTTCTAGACTTGATATAAACAGTGAAGTTGCTAAAACTATTAAAAAGGCCCAACTTCTCATTATTGATGAATGCACCATGGCATCCAGTCATGCTATAAACGCCATAGACAGATTACTAAGAGAAATTATGAATGTGAATGTTGTATTTGATGGGAAAGTTCTCCTTCTTGGAGGGGATTTTCAACAATGTCTCAGTATTGTACCGCATGCTATGGGATCTGCCATAGTACAAACAAGTTTAAAGTACTGTAATGTTTGGGGATGTTTCAGAAAGTTGTCTCTTACAACAAATATGAGATCAGAGGATTCTGCTTATCGTGAATGGTTAGTAAAACTTGGAGATGGCAAACTTGATAGCAGTTTTCATTTAGAAATGGATATTATTGAAATCCCCTGTGAAATTATTTATAATGGATCTATTATGGAAGCTACCTTTGGAAATAGTATATCT